GCTGCTGTGGGAAAATGAACTCCACCTCAGCCAGACCAAATACACTCTGACACAAGGAGGTGGCATCTTTCTGAGGAGAGGAGAGATAGTGCACAGGGGTCCACTGGCAACTCTTCATATTAGGAAAGATGCTAATGTGTGAGCTAATTTTTATCAAACAGAATTAATGGGGTTATTGAGTTTAAATAGCTGGCTGCATTTATATCCATATGAGCATTTGTGCTGGTTGGGGATTAGGCATAAGAAAATATAGGGGAAATAAAGGACAAAATACGGAGAAATGAAGCAGGAAGGCAGGCAGGAAGAAAGGACTTAATATGATATGATAATAAATCCAAATATCTTCTTTATAAATAAAGAACTGGTGTCATCCTTCTAATGTCCATGGGTGAGATGCTTCTCTATAATGAGCAAGTATGATCAAGACTGGCTTGACTAAAGTACCAAGGCCCAGAGGGAAATTTATTCCTGTTCCTCTTCCTTTTACCTCCTTGGAAACCAGAGAGCAAAGCAAATTGCAACAATTTGTGACTGTAAAGCAAACACAGAGTTCTAATTATATTGTTTTTCACCAACAGTTGCTTTAAATACACTGTCCCGGCTTGTATTTGCTTTTCTAAAGCCCATTAGTTCTGTCAGTAGTGTTTTTCCCGAAGGAGAAAGTTATTTTAGCTGAGAAGCCTTTGATTCTTTTCATTATTATCTGAGACACTCGCAACACTTACTATGGCCTCCGGCCTCTTCAAATGCTGCTGTCTCTCTTCAGCATCCATTGATTTGGTTTAAGAGTTTCATCTAATTCAACTGACAGAAAATAATTTAGTCAGATCTTAAAACAGGTTTCTTTCTTGACCTACAAATCTAATTTCCAATCAGCAGTTGCTCTTTGATTGCCTTAGAAATTTAGACATAGACAGACAGATAAACAGATGTGCTATATTCTGGTGCCCCTCTATTTAACTTTGCATTCTGGATGTCACTACATGTTCACATGGCACATCCTTGCACATACTTTGTCTTTCACAATGCTGGTTGTATGTACATTCTGAACAGTAGCTGATTGACCACTGATTATCAGTCTAAGTGTTAAGAGGACAGCACCAATGCCCAAGGCTGTTTCTCTAAGGATGACTAACAAAGGAGAAAAGCAGATTAGGCAATTTAAACTTAATGTCTGTGCTGAGTGGCTCTAACAAACTACAAAAACAACATACGTTTTGGGAAAGTGCTTTGTGTCACAACTTACATGAATATCCTTTCCTTTCAAATTTTTAAGCTGCTTCCATTTTGCTAAAGCTGGAAGCGATTACATCCTTGGTCTCCATATAAAAGAAACCAGGAGAAGAAGGGAAGAGACCACTATGGATGAGTCAAGACCTGCTAGTCAAACTGAAGGACAAGAAAGAAATGCACAGGCAGTGGAAGCAGAGGTATGATGATGGTGCTTTATCTTCACAATTTGCTTTGTCATGAGTTTAATGTACATGTAAATTAATGCAGATGAAAAGTCATTTCCTTTGGCTAATGCCAGATGAAAGAACACTTCCCATCAGAATATTGTTGCAGTTAACTTAAGAAATGGCAGTAATTATGAATAGTTTTTATGCCAGAGGGAAGAACAGTGCATTTAAGATTCCTCTTATATTGTGAACTTTCAGCCTCTTACAGAGGAGCTGCGAGGAGGCCAAAGTGTAACACTTCAGGTTGGTTATGAGGTGTAATCACTCCTAGGGCTGAAACACCCCAATGTGGGATGAAGACCAAAGGCCCAGGCAAGCACTAAGTCTTACTATCTACAGCCAGTTTTGTGTACCCACCGTGTTATCTTTGCAGGTGGAGAAATATACAACTGACATGGAGAAAATATGAGGTGGCTGGAGGACATGGTCTGGTGGAGACAGAATGGTCCTCTTTTTGTCTCTGAAGAGCCAAACAGAACTAAAAGAAATTGTATGACCAGAACGTTAAAGGATGCTATGGAAAAAAATAAACTTTTGCCTCATTCAATGTTATTTAAATATTAAAATGTATCATATGCTAATAAACTTGATGAAGTACAGGCTTCCACATATATTTCTTATATATATTTCTTAAGTCTCTGTCTAGATCATGCTGTATGTAAAGAAGTAGAGGAGCATAAGATTGGGTTGTATATAAGCAGGGTAGAAATTTCAGCTCGTTAAGAGAAAGACTGAAGAAGACAGTTGAACAAACTTGAAGACAGTTGATGAAAACGATATCTGCATCTTCACACTAGTTCTCCTCCTGCAACCAATCTCGAATCAGAGTAGGAAGTCCTCTCAGTGCATATTCTGGGTTGATAAAAGTGGTTACTAGAGTTACAAGGGATCCTGCAGCCTAAACTTCATATGCAGGCTCAGATGGGTAAATATAAGCAGGAAATCTATGTAAGAACATGTTTCACACACAATTGCATTCAAGGTGGAAAACAAAACGACGTTGTTCTCTTATTACTATTATTACTATTATTACTATTATTACTATTATTACTATCATTACTATCATTACTATTACTACTATTACTATTATTAATTCCATTTACCATCTCTGCCAGAACCCACAGACAAATACAGTAAACCAGCATGGCCCTTGTAAAAGTTAAGTTACTCCCTCAAATGTACAAAGGTGGACAAGTCCATACTGGTGTATCCTTGCAGTTTTGATTGGCAGGTCTCAGGAGCAGAGAGACAATTTTTTGGTCCACAATTGCACAACTAGTAATGCATTACATATTATAACAGATATCACCTGGCACTTGATGAAATGCTCAAGGAACTGAACATCTATAACAGCATTGTTGGAGTTTGTCTAACTCCAAGGCTCTGAAATTATTCATGACAGATTGCCCTGTTCCTCTGTAGATGAATTAAATCAGGGCCATAATTAGGAGCTTGATACAGCACCGTGGGTCTGACCTTGTCATGCAGAAAATCACTTTGAAATAAGAAAGGATAAGAGATTCAGAGAATTTGTTTTCTAATTTTCTTCAAAAAAGGCCTTTGAAATGCAAAACAATTGTGACTAAAAATGGAATAGTTATTCTATGTAATGTGAGAGGTGGTTAATAACTAAGACAATTTATTTTTTATCCGTTTCTGTCTAAAAGAGGAAATATAGGAAACAATAAAAATTCAAGAAAGTATCAGTCTGGGCTTGGTCTTTCTGGGGTAATATATTTTCACTTTTTAACCCATAAAAGTTGCTAGTTTTTTAATAGTGACACAAATATAAATAGCAGTATCCAACCCATCATTATATTTTCTTTCTTTTGAAGAGTTAATGGGGAATATCCCATCAGTATCACCACACATAAAGTCTGGTGACTTATTCTAACTATGAACAAAGTCCAGGAATATTCTGAAGGTTATTGATAATAACTCCATCAGTTGCATGACTGTGGAATGAAGAAGGGTGGTTGCTTCACTGTGTCTGGCATTTGAGAAGAAGAAGGAATCAGGGATGTGAATGGTAGGAGCTGATGGACAGCACCGCTGCAGGGAAGGACCTGGAGGTGCTGGTGGATGGCAAGCTGACCATGAGCCAGTCATGCACCCTCAGGCCACCAGCAGCCTGGCCTGCAAGGAACAGAACTGTCAGCAGGGCAAGGGATGTGACCCCTCCCTTCTTTCCCTCAGCAGCCTTGAAGCCATGTCTGGAATGTGGGAGTTCAGTTCCATGTTCTCTAGTACAGCAGAGACACAATCTTTCTGAAAAAAGTCCAGTGAAGGTACTGGAGCATCTTTTGTAAAAGAAGAGGGTGAGATAACAGCGGCTGTTCAACCCAGAGAAATGAAGGCTCAGGAGAGCAGTACCAATGTGTGTAAATAGTTGAGTGAAGGGAATGAAGAAGAGTGAGTCAGAAAATCCTTGCTGTTACCCTGTGACAGAATCGGAGGTAATGGACACAAGCTGAAACATGAGAAATTTCATTAAAGCATAAGAAAAAATAAATTCATTGCAAAGGTGATCAAAGAGTAGAATGGGCTGCCCGCACAGGTTGTGAAGTCTCCAACTTTGCAGACCTTCACAGTCCAACAGGAAATGGTCTGTGGTATCCCAGTCCTTTAGACTCTGCTATGACTGGAAAGATTTTCTATTGTCAGTTATAAAAGAGTGAGAGAACAACTAATGCTGCTGTTAGTTCAGTGATGCAAACCCATGCAATTCAAACCCATTAGTAACAAGCTCAAAGGGTGCATGCCAAAGTCGTGACAAAGTCCATCTGTGTACAAACAGGCCCAGGATTTCTTGCTTTTACCTCTTAGCACAAAGTTGTCCTCAGACCAAAGGTATGCTATTCTGCTGCCTTGCCAGAATACCCAAAAAAACCAAGGAACTGCAGTAAACTGAAGCTCCAAATCTAAGCTCCACAGAAATGGTGTTACCTCCTTTTTAACTGGAACCTAGGATGCTGACTACCCTGTGCAAGACAGTTTATCTTCCCAAAGTGAAGGCATGTGAGTCCCTCTACTTCTCATACAGACTTCTAATCAGGTTATATCCTGAAAAAAATTAATCTTATCAGGATATCTACTCTTCACTTCTATTGCATTAGCATTTCTTTTAAGTGAAACTTATTACAGCTAATGTGCAACGGAACATAACACTTGTTTCTCTTCAATCAGGAAAAAACCCTAGTCAGTTTGGAATTGTTCCTTTTTTTTCATGATTTAGATGCTGGACTGAAAGCCAGGTGTTCAGAGGAACTTTTCTAGAGAGTGAAAGAAAGAGTAGAAACCATTAAACCCTGTTTTTTGTTTCCCAAATATAGATTCCATCTCTGGAATTCTACTGTTCTGGAAAAGCTTCTCTTAGTCCTGCAGAGTTCTATGACATTTCATTATACTCTGACTTCAGTTTGCAAAAGATTTGTTGAGGCTTTCACTGCTCTAATGAGTAGGAACAAGCATTGTTTCAAAGAAGATTTTATTTTCTAGTTTGCTTTCACCTTCTAGACTCAAACACTTGAAGAACAAAACTTTCAGCCACGTGTAAAAGTAGACTTTATTTTCCTGATGCAGTCAAATTGTACAGTCTATAGCAACTGCCAGTATATCTGATGAGATAGCCCAAGTCTTTTCGTCTTCTTTCGAGAAAGTCAAAAAAAAGGCCAAAGACAAGTTTATTCTCTTCACTGGGTATGTGAGGTTTATTATGTTCTGGTTTTGTTGGTTTTACTTTGTCCATATAAAGAAAATCACCTGCAAGAACCATTCCACTTGAAACTGTCACATCTCTCTTTTGGAAGAGGCAAGATCCTTGAAAGAAGAGACTGAAGAGCTCATTGTAAATATACTGATCTAGCCTATGACATTTGAATTACGAAAAAGCCACTGTGAAGGAAAGTGGAATGGAGCCTGAACATCCCTTGTCCCTCTCGAGCTTGTTTTCTTCATGAACAAATTTTGAACAATTTCCTTGGTATTACTTTCACTCCATTCCTTCAGAGTCCCCATCTGGAGCAGCTTGGTAAATGTGAGGAATAGACAGTTCTTTGAGCAGTCTGCACAAACAAAGGAGACAGGAGACATTAGTGATCAGTGAGTGCACAAAAACCATTGTTGCTACCATAATATTCAATTATTGTTGTTATGGCCAGTAGTTCCTCTAATTAACTATTAATTTTAACATTTTAACATTTTAACATTTGTGTTTACCTGGAAGCATATGAACACATCAATCAAAATAACAAATACCTAGTTATAGATGATATCTCTAAGACAGCATCAGGCATGTTGTCATCCCAGGCTTACCCCTTTCAGTCTGAAAATCCAGTGCAAGTCTTAAATGTTTTTTCTTGGCCAGTGCAACAATCTCACCTGACTGATATTCAGTGAATGGTGGTGGAAGAGTTGCAGTTAAAAGTCCTTGGAAAGCTGTATCGGGCATGATCAGATTATAGTAGAATTAATGGGGAAAATAGAAAATATGATTAATTACCAGAAGATTTCCTACAGAAAATGGTAGTTTTCACTGTCAGTAAGACACTTCACACAGAAGACCTTGCAAGCTGACTGCAGCAACCAGGCTTGTTTCAGGTTTAGAGAATGTTTCAGGTTTAGAGAATAGCAGGTCTTCTGCTACTCATTTGCAAGAGCATCACCCACTTTGAACTCTGTTCTCACTGCATGCTATAACCTGAAAAAGAGAGGAGATTTATGGCATCTCCAGCATCATGGCCTGTCTGGGAGTTGCCCTTCTTCCCCACAGGAGACAACAAGTTTACAATTATTTAAACAGCATAATTATTGCCATAGTTTTCATCCCAGACAAATAAAGCTATATTCTGTTTGATGTCCTTTAAGAAGTCTCTAAGTCCCATCCTTTTACAGACCTATCCAATACATGATCCTGTAACACAACTGTGTATTATCCTTAGTAGCTGGCCTCTTGAGTAAGTATTGTCTTGACTTACAGGAAAAGTTTGTTCGTTAAATGTGAAACCTAGAAAATTGTATCTAAGGGAACACAGACAAAGAGAAAATAAGTCCTAGCTGTGCTGCTATGTCCTCATTGAATCTCTTCAATAGGTAGAAAAATCATCTCTTTGTAGCTCCTGCTCAGAATAAAAGAGTCAGACATCATTATAGTGTGAATCACCAGCAAAGATGTCTTTCTCCCATCCTAACAAATCCATTTCCCTCAAGTATCCTGATTTTTTTCTCTTACAAAGGTGTGGGACTGTAATAATTTTTGACTTCAAAAACTATTCTCTATCCATTTAAGTTTCTGACAACCAAATTGAAACTCTCATATCCTGATAAATGGAATAAAATTGGAAACAATCCTTCTATATCTTAAACTCCAAAGTGGTGAGGTAGATGCCATTGAAGCCTTAAAAAAGGTTTCTTGTTGATGCTAGTAATATGTGCTATGAGAAAGTCACATTTCCAAACCCACCTGAAGAACACTGTTTCTTTCTGGGGAGAACTGGTTAATGAGATGATCAGAAGAGGAAGAAAGTCTGACAAGTACCTTTAGTGCATTTGTGCAGAGACAGAAGCACATCACTGTAACCCACAGACTGATGTCTCGTTCCCACCCCATACTGATTCTCCTCTCTTGACTCTACGCAGCTGTCTTTGTGTGGTATAGGATGGTGCTGTGCTCTGCTTTGGGTCATTCCAGAAACAATTGCCTTGTTTGAATTCAGGTCATACCCACTGACTTGTCATAGAAGTGATGAGCACCACAGAAATCTTAAGTTCCTTTCCCCAGTCTAGAACAGATTTTCCCCAGACGTGGTACGTGATGTGGCAGTATTCCTAAAGTGTACTCCCAACCTGTGAAGCATGGAATCACCAAAGAAAACCCAAAAAGCAAACACGGTCAGATAATGCTGCTGTGTCTCTTAGCTGCTGGCGAAAGGAAGAATGTTGCATACAACTCCCTAGTCTTTGCTAGAGCAGCCAAACAATTGAGCTAAAATTAAGGAACTCAGTCACCACAAAACATTCACTTGTGACCAATATCTTAATCTGTCCCTTTCCTAGATGCATGTGCCATCTTTCTGCTGTTCCTTTTATTGTTTTAAGCTACTCGTTTTGGGGACTCATGCATCATAAATGCAAATGTAGAGGAAAGTCTGCAGAGAAGACTGAAATTCTTTCCTTGTTCTGTCAAATTACAATCAGAGAAGCATGTGAGATGTCACAGAACATAGCTAAAGGCAGAGATGACAGTTTATTGTTATGCATATGTGCTCGAGTCCACCAAAGGTCAAGGCATATGAGCTTTGAAATGGTTCACAAGATGTGTGAAATGTGCCAGGGAAATGGCACATGCCATTGTTTCACATGCTGAAACTGTATTATCAGATCAGGATATGCCTTGTAGGGGACTGTTCTCTGGGCATAAGTGGCCAGGCAGGATGGAAGGTGGAAAGGATGTTAGGAAGCAGAGAGTTGTCAGAAGCTGCATGTGGGAAATGAAATGGAGAGAGGCACACAGGTACCAAGGAATTCTCTCAGTGCAGGCTGTGGAACAGCAATGATGGTCTCTTGGTGAAGGCAAACCTGCTGCAGGAACAACACTATTGGGGCGACTTTAGGTAGACTGTGAATGGTGTGCAATTGTATTTCATTCAGGGATGTCTTCAGCCTTCAGCAGGTGACAAATTTCCTTGGGAAAGGTCCTTCCATTCCTCTAGTCAGCTGACATCCACTTCAGAGGGCAGAGGCAGTCACTTTCCTAATGTCAGGCAAGAAAAGCAGAGTGGAGCAGAGCTATCCAGTACAAGATCTTAGCAACAGCAGCTGTACAGGCATTCAGAGAGAGGAAATTTTCCAGGGATCAAACTGTAGTCAGAAAACAAGAGAGAGACACTACCTTTGCATCTAATGCAACAAAAGGGATCTTCCTTCCTGTTATTTTTTGTTTAAATGTCAAAGCTTTTAACAGGACTAGAAATTGGAGTCACTGGAGAAAAGAAGCAGCAGAATTCTCGGTAAATCAGCAGTAAGAAATATTTGAAGGATTTGTACAGTTTTCTAGCCTGTGATTAAAAGTAGAGTTAAACACAGTAGACCAAATCTTCCCTTTTCATCCTAGCATCAGGAAGAGAAGAACCCACGGAACACTGACATCCTGGTTAAATTAAAGCCTTTCTGAAGATGTGTTAGAGGCTAAAAGAGAATGCTTTATGGCTCATCATTAGAAAATAATAGATGGCATGTCTTTAATCACCCACACTATAGCTCCACACTGGCAGATATCCACTGGGATCTTCTACACTATTTGTACAGCTAGGTGTAACTAGGTACAGTGAGACTGCTCAGTGCTCAAATCAGGCCTGAAGGCTGCACCCATCCTAGCAAGTTAGCCCAGGAATATCCCAGGCATGGTATGGGCTGACCTCTTAGTAAATTGTGCAAGTTTCCACAGTGAGTGGCTGGATGCCAAGCACCTGTGGCAAATGTTCCCTGACCTCTTTGGGACAGTATGCAGCTGATCAGGAACATGGATTACAGTCTATCAGTCCCTGCAAATATATACCAGGAATGCTCCCCTACAAATCCAGACCCATTAATATAGATACAGAAAATATTATCTACAAGATAAATGCTAAACTGAAGAAGTAAGATAATGAAAATATCTCTAAATCTCTCCATAGTCACTGTGACACTGGATTAAAAACACAGCCTCTGATTCTAGGTGTAATGGAGTCAACAAAGGGGATCCTTGGATTATTTCAACTGTGTTTTGGCCCTCTCTCTATGTCTTTACAGACATGTAACTTGGAATGAAGTAACTACCTGATATAAGTTCTTGAGATAACTACAAAGCCATTAAAATTCACAGCCACGCAGAATCCATCCTGTGCACCACTATCTGGCTATCAACAAACCTCCAGGTGCAGTTTCTTACACTTGTCTTAGCTGATGCCTGGAATAATAGGGTTGAGGTATACTGCCTGGTCTCTCCCACTGCTGGAGTTGCTCTCTCCTGCATTAAGCAAAGCTGCAGCACAGGAGAAAAAAAATTGTCAGTACCACTAAATTATTTGAGATGTCAGTAGGAGAAAATCTCTCTTAGATTCAGGGTTTGTATATGAAATAATTTTTTTCTGTTAAAGAAGGTAAGTAAGCAGAAAAAAAAAAAAAGGTATGCTTATGCAAAAGTAAAATTACGTTGCAGTTACTTAAAAATAAAAAATAATAAAAAAAAAAACCAACCAAAAAAACCCCAAAAAATTAAAACTAGAAGGAAGTTTTGGAGAAATATAATATAGGACTGACTCTCAACCCTAGTACTTTCAATTGCTATGTTTTTGTGTTGGTTTAACACAGCCTGACTTTTAGTAGGGGTGGGAGAAGCCACAGAGGCAGCTTCCGAGAGAGAAGCTGCTCCAAGATTCTACTGCGTCCAGCAGAGCCAGTCCCTGAAGGCTCTTATGATGGACATACTACTAGCCCAGCTACAGAGGTTGATAATGCTTCTGTGATGACGTATTTAAAAAGGAAAAAACTGTGCACAATTTTTCTTTATTCCTTTTCTTCTTCAATTTTTCTTTTTTTTTTTTTTTTTCTTCAGGTGGGGAGGCCGGGCACAGCTGCCAGGACCACACGGCCATGGCCATGCGGCCGGGGTTGGGAGTGGCCTCCGCTGTCTTGGCAGGGTTCGCAGTGAGCTGTGCCTGCTTGGCCGCTTTCCGCCGGCCGTGCTGCGAACAGAAGGGCCAACAGGGGCGGCGGCAGCAGCTTCTCCTTCTCGGTGCCCCGCATGAGGAGAGGCGCCGGCTGGGGCCGATGTCGCGGTGGCACCGCCCGCGCGGCTGTGGGGAGACCAGGCGGCCCAGCCGAGGGGCAGGACGAGCAATTCCCCAGTGCGGAGCCCGGATGGGATCAGCTTTTCAGCACTGCGGAACCCTGTAAGAACTTTTCAGCTGGCAGAACTTGAGAACAGACAATCCCACAGACACCGATTCTCTCACGGATCAGGGAAAAGGGAAAGGTGAAGACACGTGAGGAGAACAAGATGGCGACGCTGAGGTCGATGAAATGGAGGGAGGGAGGGAGAGGAGGAGGTGATCCGGGCATCAGTGCTGAGATTCTTCTGCAAGCCGTGGTGAGGACTATAATATACCAAACTGTTTCCCTGTAATTCATGAAGGGCATGGGGGGATGTAGAATTCACCTGCAGCCCATGAGAAAGAGGTGCTTGCACTGGAGTGTGTGGATGCTGAAAAACTGTAATCTCATGGGGGACTTGACCAGAGAGGAGAAGATAGAGGAAGAGGACTTCCTTGTTTCTTCCAAACAAGAACAGCTCATCCTTAAAAGACTACACCCCATGAACTAAAATGACCCACGCCATGTAGTTCTGGAAAACTATTTTGCCCGTGGGAGGGACTCAAGTTGTAGCGGGTTGGGTTGGGCTGCTACTCGTGAAAATTAGAACCACGGTGGAGAAGTTCACAGAAAACTGGCTCCCATGGGAAGGACCCCTTGACACAACAGAAGTCTCCTCTCCCTGAGCAAACCGAAGAAATATTTTTTTAAAAAGTGACAAACTGACTAAAAACCCCATGTTAAGTCTCTCTGTGCTGTCTGTGGGAAGGAAAGAAGGGCTGGGGGAGGGGGGAAGATATTCCCAAGGTTTATTTTAGTTCTCATTATCCTCTTTTAATTCTGTTAATAAATTTATCTTTACACCTTTTATGTTTTGAGCCTGTTTTGCCATTAGGGTGTGTTCTCCTAATCCTTATCTCATCCCGTGAACCTTCTGGTTTTTCTTTCCTCCTCCTCTGCTCAACTAATGCAGAGGAGAATGAGTGAATGGTTTTTCGTGGGTGCCTGGCTTCTAGCCAGTGTCAAACCCCGACAGTTTTCTGAATAAAATTATATTTAATTTTTCCAAGTTATAAAAAGCTGTGGGTTTTCCCAGTAAAAGGATAATTTTAATAAGTGTTAAACATAAAATGGTGGTCCCCCTTCCCCAAAAGAGCAAGCAAGAACAAATAAACAAAAACTTACTATGCATGCAGTAGTTAATATTAAATGTGTAAGAAACGCCATTATTACAAGGTACCAAGGACTACTGATGAATCAGATGGTTATGTTGCAATTGATAGGGAGCTGGAAAACTGAACCAACAGCAATCTGATGTAGAGTAAGAAGGGAAAATGCAAAATCTTGCCCATGGAGAGGAAAAAATTCACGCACTCTGGGTGGCAACCAGCTGGACAGCAGCATGGCACAGAAGGACCTGGGGGTCCTGGCAGATAGCAAGCTCTCAGGATGGCTCAAGAACAAGAGTTGCCAGCAGGCTAAAGACAGAATGTCTCCTTACCAAGTTTGTCTGGTGACCAACACTCCAGAAGGTTTTCAGAGGGCCCTTCAGAAGGACCTCAGTAGGTTGGAGAGCTGGGCAGAGAACTATCTGAAGTTCAACAAAGGCAAATTGCAGGGTCCTGCACCTGGGGAAGAATAACCCCAGGCACCAGCACAGGCTTGGGCTGACCTATTGGAAAGCAGCTCTGTGGAGAAGGATGTGAGGCCCTGGTGGACAAAAAGCTGTCCATGAGCCATGAAGGACCAGAAAGTACCTTAAGGGACTGGAGCATCTTTTGTACAAGAGTAGGAGAGAGCTGTGGCTGTTTAGCCCAGAGAGGTCAAGGCTCAGTGGGATATAACCATATATTGCTAAACAGAGGGAATAAATATAAACAGCTAAACAGAGGGAATAAAGAAGAGGGAGACTGACTCCTCTTGGTAGTGCCCAGTGACAGGATATGAGGTAATGAGCACACACGTAGGTAAGAACACACATTTTTTGCTCTGGTTGTGACTGATCATTTCAACAGGCTGACCAGAGAGGCTGTGGAGTCTCCAAGCTTGCCGACTGTCTCAGAGAAACTGAGCAACTTTGTGCATCTGAACATACATGAGTATGAGAGGAGTGAACTAGACAGTTTCCAGTTGTTCCTGCCAATGTCAGTTATTGTAGCTGTGATGCAACTTTGTGAGCTTGTGATTCTGTGAGGTGGATCACAGTGGATCACAGTGGATCACACTTTTTTCCTGATTTCTGCCCCAGAAACACAAAAACATCAATTAGCTAGAGGAAGGTGCTGCGTAGTGTGATTTTTATGTCAGTTCAAGTCAAGAGCTTAAGTTAATTTTATATTACCATACACAAGCCTCATGTGGAGAGGTTACTGGCCTAAACTAAATAACTTGTAGACCCTACGATAAGTTAATAGGAATGTACACAGACCATCCTTCAGAGCGTTTATTGTACAAGACACTACCTTTAACACTTCACCACTGGAAGATATTTATTGGGTCACAGAACTTAGAAATAAATCATTATACCAACTATTCAGTAGCTGCTTCTACAGAGGCCACATTCTGTAATGGCAGCCTTTCTCCAAATATTTTACCTGTTCATGTTATATCTGTGCAAAGCAATGATGCCTTTGACTTCTAGATTACCTGTTCTGACATTCAAAATCCTTCTGTCAGTTTATGGATTTATGAAAAACCCAAAACAAAACCAAAACCCCCAAAGATGCCTAAACTCATCATAAATATGGACTAAAATTTAGCAAATATTATTGTCTCCAAAAAAACTTACTTTTTACTTTACTAGAGAGGAAAAAGTGCCAGGAAATAAAGAGTTTTATGCTAGTGTAGAATGAAGTAGTTTGCATAATCACTAAGAACTACTTAATAATTACTGCCAAATGTGATTGGTTTATATGTGGTTACTTACATACATGACTGTTGAGAAAAAAAATAATTCATGGCCTTCACCAATTTTATAAAGTGAACGTGGGTCTCTTTCTCTTATCTCTCTCAATTTCACACCATGCTGTGCTGTATGACCCCTCACCTTTCGCAAGCTACTGTTCTCTTGCTGACATCTCTTTTAATCCTGCTTTTTAGTTCTTTCAAAGTAGTAAACAGTTTTGGTTCCCACTGTTCAAATACTCAATTTTGTATTATCTTAAAACAATATTTAGCAGAAGGACCATCAAAATTCCTAAAATAATGAGATCTAATTTGGATCCTGTGTAGATATCTCCACTAATGTAGCTCATTTGCTTCATTTGATTTAAGCAGTTTTTTGTTTGCCTAATTTGCTGTTACCTCTGCAGCCCAATCCCTTATCCAAATATCTCATCTTTTAAAACTTTCTTCTGATAATCATGCTAATCAAGTCAAACCAAGCCTGTAATTGTTTCTCAGTCCTCTAGTTTAACTGTTGAAATCACTCTTGCTCCACAGCCATTTTTGTTACTCTCCTTAGAAGGTGGAATTTTTATGTGGTATGGATAAAATAGTTTTAACTCCTGTAATGCATACAAATTTGAGGAAACTGTAAACTGGTTCACTTTAAACCAAAGGAGAGAGCTAAAAGGAAAGACAGAAACACTTGGAACACAACAAGAAAATAACCAATTATCCATAAGCTTCTTTTGCCTACCTCTGCTCATACTAAAAGCTTGCCCAAACCTCAACCCATCACAAGCATTCTTGTTCATTTTATTTGAAGAATAGCATTGTGTAAATTGTTCTCTTCAATCGGCTTATAAAACCCTGTATTTCTGATATGGAAGAAACATACAATATAAAAATACCTCATCCTTTTCAAATTGCTTCTTACTGCTTCTTTTTTCTTTTTTCTTTTTTCTTTTTTCTTTTTTTTTTTTTTCTTTTCCCTAGGAGCCTTTAACAACAAGCCTTTTGCAAACTGAAATTTAGGAAACATGCTTCTTTGAAGCATACTTTGATTTCCATCTTACAGTACTAGCAGAAGCTACAGCTAATGCTGCTTTTCTACTTATATTCTAAACAGTTCCCTTTCCATTCCCTTTGTTCTGATAAGCTCTCATTGCTTTCTTTGTTCTCACAAAGTGGAAGGATGACAAAATCTTACATGAATTTGAGGGGAAGGATGAAGATTTTTGCATTGTAGGACCAGGAAAAATGTTTAAATGTGAGAATTACATAGAAAGACAGAGGACAAACTTACATGTGAAGCTAGATGCATGAAACTGTGAACTAGCTCATTGGTGGGCCCTTTTCAAGGCCCGCAGCTGTACTTTAGAAGAAGACCAAAGCCAGTCCCATACATGTTCTGTCTGGTTTAAGGACCTTGCCCACTGTCACTTCAGTTCTTTCCATCACTGGTGCAAAGACATATTCTCTACTAAATTCTGCTAAATATTTGCCAGGAAAACAATGCATGGCAAGGGAACACAAAAATTTACAGGACTATACTAAGCTGGCTCATCTAGCTATTTTATATCTTGACTCCTTCACTGACACATGAAAGGTGTTGTAGGATGAAAATGCAAAGACTCCTTAGTGGAAGATAAGAGATAATCCCTGTTCCTAAAGTGTGTCTGTCCTTGGTGTAATCTGCCTGCAGAGGTGAGGGAGGAGTTGAGCCCATAAACTTGATGTGAAACTTTCTTTCCGGAGTGTGCGTTCAGATACATACTAGCAGTTTGTGATGAGAAGTGAGTTGTTTCAAAATGGGAGTTGAAACTGGACTTGCCATTGATAACCTGTTATGTTCAAAGGGTAGAAGGCTAGGATGCCTCAGTGAGTTTCAGTCTGATCCCATTCTCGGTATTTTAATTAGCAGCTTGAATAGTACAACCTGCAAAAGTTATACCCAATCCAAGAGTAAGGGGAATGCATATATCAGCCATCTGACCTCAGGAGCCAGGATCTCAACAGAAGAGCTAGTGATGGCAGCAGACACAATAAAATAATGAAATAAAAATAATAAAAATAATGAAGTAAGAGTTAAATATACATATAAATGGGAAAGTACCAGTTAGCCAGGAGAAAGGCAGAAAAGGATTCTGAGTTACATTGGATAAAAAAAAAAATAGTTTATGTATATCAAGGAGATGGAGCTTGGCATTGGTGTATATTAAAAGTACATTGCCTTATCTGAGAGGCAATTACTATTGTCCGGTCCATTTCTATGTTATGCTTACTGGAGAAGTCAGTACTTTTCCAGGGAGATTCCAGAGCCTAAGGAAGATGGAGAAAAACTGTAAAACCCAGAGAGGCTCAGAACATGTAACATCACAGAGAAAGCTGAAAAAAGCTGAGCTAGTTTTGCCTTAAAAAAGAGGTTTAGAATGTGAGTAATTTGCTAATGTCTTCCTAATGCTCCAGTTGAGGTTGACTAAACTTGATTCCCTTCACCTCACTAGGAACTGTCATTAGCAGTCAAATGTAGTATGGAAAAGATGGCTGGCACCTCCAATACCAAAATTAGTGGGACCTTATGTATCCTTCAGAAAGACACAGGTCCCTGTTCTAGGCTAGAGAATTCTGGGATAAGGACCTGCACAGGTAGAGACTGAGTCCTCACTTGGGGGACACACAATTTTAGCAATTCCTTGTAATGATGAGTTTAAAGGCAGCATTTCACCCAAGAGATGAGATTTTTGTCTCCTTGTTCAGAAATATCCATCCCTTCCTTACCTGCTGCACATAGACTCCTGCCCTGCTACATTACTCACAAAAATAAATGATGAATCTGAAATACTCAGATACTCAGTATTTAAAACAAAAGCATAAAGAAAGGCACACCCTATGCTGCTGAATGAGCAAACTCCATGTAATGATCTTAACTGGAAAACCATTGCACACAGAGCTAGTGATCCATGTAATAGGCAGTGTGAGTGGACAAAAGCCAGGGCTGTGCTGTGCTGTGCTGTGCTGTGCTGTGCTGTGCTGTGCTGTGCTGTGCTGTGCTGTGCTGTGCTGTGTGACACAGCTTGACCTTCAGACCATCTCAAGCTGTGTGCATGGACTAACTGCAGGATAAACATACCTGGCTGACTGCAGCAGAGAAACCAACAGGCAGGTCCTGCTTTATATCTGTGATTACACCACTTACATGCCCTTGTCTCTATCTAACAGTGAAGCAACAAGTTCATGTAGGAACCCCCTCTTTTGAACAATGAAAGTGTTGAATAGAATTATTTTCCTTGCAAAAAAATATTATAAGAGGAACAAAAAATGGATAAATTTCCCATAGGTGGATCTGCACAGCATGTCACACCCATTCTACACTGCCCATCTTGAGGTTACCAGTGCCTGAAGTAAGTCTGTCTATACTTTGA